ACAGGATGAGGAGGAATTACAGGAGGATGAGGTGGAGGAGGAGGAACAGGAATATTGGAGGTAGGCCCAGTGGGAGAAGTGGGCACCTCATGAGATGACTCAAAAGAAACAGGAAGAGGAACTACTAGAAACATAGCAAAGGGTTCCTCAGATTTCTCCCCCTCAGGAGGAATACTAAAGAAAGGAGTAGACTCAGCAAATGTGGCATCATTAGATACAAAACGAGTGCCATTAACTGGATCAAAACAGCAATATCCCTTCTGTGTGGGGGTATATCATAGAAAAACACATTTATAAGCCTTAGGTTCAAATTTGTGCCTTTGATGACTGTGAATATGCACATAGCAAGTGCACGCAAAAACACGGAGAGGAAGAGAGAAGAGATCCTCATCCGAAAAGAGAAGGCTAAAGGGGGTTTTAAAGCCAAGAACCCGGGAAGGCATACGGTTAATCAAAAAAGTAGCAGTAAGGACAGCATTTCCCCAAAATTTTGTAGGAACATGGGATGCAAAAATGAGGGATTTGGCAACTTCAACCACATGTCGGTTCTTCCTTTCCGCCACTCCATTCTGTTGTGGAGTGTAGGAACAAGAACTTTGATGAATAGCCCCAAAAGTTTCAAGATAGGCTTAGAGGGTTTTCTCAAAATACTCCTTAGCATTATCAAAACGGAATATTTTGATCTGGGTGTTAAACTAGGTAAGAATGAGTTCATGAAATTTTTGCACAATAGTTGGTACTCCATCCCTAGATCTCATGAGATAAATCCAAGTGTAACGAGAGTAATCATCAATAAAAACGATAAAGTACCTGTAAACCCCCCATAGTAGGCAAATGATATGGCCCCCACACATCAGAGTGAACAATATGAAAAGGAGAAATAGATCTTTTATTGCTTACTAAATAAGATAGTCTACAATGCTTTGCCAATTCACACGACTCACAATGAAGACTTGATAAAGACACTCCCTTAAACATATCTGTAAATAAATGACTCAAAGCAAAAAAAGACAAATGACCAAACCGAAAGTGACGTAACATGATTTTGTCAACAGACTCTAACAAGACCAACTCCAAGGCATCTCCATGAAGTGGTCCAAGAGCACTATCAGGTGTGTCCAACAAGTATATTCCATTCGCCTCATGGCCACTCTCAATCATCCTCTGAGACTGTAGGTCCTGAAAAACACAATGAGTGGGAAAGAAGGTTATGCTACAGTTCATGGATTTAGTCAGGCTAGTAACAGATAAAAGATTTGTATTAAATTTAGGGACAAGAAGGACAGAGGATAAATAAAGGGTGTCAGAGGTTTTTATATCCCCTTTGCCAAAAATGGGAGCAAGGGACCCATCAACAAGGGATATTTTCTCTTTACCAAAGAGAAGGTGGTATGAACAGAAAAGGTTAGACAAGCTGGTCATATGGTCTATTAAACCAGAATCAATGATCCAAGGGATTTTATGATTACCTGAAACTAAAGCATGGTTTGCAAAAGCACGAATACCTGAGTGAGCAAATACTGATGATGATGATGATGTGTTGCCTGAAGAGTGAGATGTAGAAACAGTAGCCTCCAAGTGACTTAATAGCCTACCATACCTTTCAAAGTCTGCCTTCACAACTGTTCAATGGTGGACTTCTCTTCACTCTCCTTACTTCCTCCTTCCGATACTGTGGCAACATTAGTTGTCTTCGGTTTTCCTGTCTGACTGCCCTTCTTAAAATTGTTGTTATTCTTAAATCGGTCAGGAAGAAGATCAGGATGAAGCTCACAGCAAGTGTCCTTCGTATGCCTCGGTTTCTTGCAATATTCACATATCTGCTCCTTCTTCTCAGTTGGACCCTTCGGCTTTATTCCTGCATGTGCAAAGTGTTCCGTAGGTGGACTCTGTAACTGAACCTGCCGCCTACTCTCCTCACTACTACCATAGCATATGCCTAAGCAAGAGTAACATCATCTTTGGCCAGAATATTCTTCCTAATGATGTCAAACTCAGGGTTGAGTCCAGTAAGAAATTCAAACACCCTGTTTCTTTCCACCAACTTCCTAAACATTTCTGAGTCATTCTTAGTCTTCCATGCAACTGTCTCCATAACATCAATTTCCTACCATAAGGATTTCAGTATAGAATAGTAGATTGCCACACTCTTCTCCCCCTGTCTTAGGTTCTTCACATCACTTTTCAGCTTGTAGACTCTAGCCACATTCAACTTCTATGAGTAAGTTTTAGTAACATTGTCCCAGATCTCCTTGGCAGAGGACATCCAAAGATAGTGCTGACTTATATGAGGCTGCATAGAGTAGACTAACCATCCTATGACAGTATAGTTTTCCTGCATCTATTTCTCATATTTAGGGTCTATCTCTTCGGGTTTCACTTTACTGCCTGTGAGGTACCCTAATTTTCCTCTACTACAGACATAAATCCTTATAGACTGTGCCCAAGCAAGATAATTTGTCCCATCTAGCTTGATTGTGGTCACACCAGTCAAAACGGAATCTACCAAGCCAAGCCCAGAAACCGGCACCTGCTTGAACTCACTTCCATATTGCTCCATTAATCAAACAAAAATCAAAAAACCAGAAATTTGGTCCTTATAAACTTACTTGAAGTCAAACCAGTACCCAGATGCTTGAAAAGTAGGGTTTCACTGCATCCGGATGTTGGGGAGAAAGAGAGAAGATGCAGCTGCTCCTACCGGAGCTTCCCAATCTCTTCCAAACCTGAACCGCTCCCTTTTAGAAGTCAAAAGACACCTCCCAAGCACAGAGCACCACACCCAAAGCTTCACTTTTACTTGTAACTTCAAAAATCTCTAATCGGCTAGGGTTTTGGGTAGAAACAGTACAGCACCACTTCTTGGCAATATCCGGCCAGATTTACACTCTCCAAACCCTCTACCAACTAGGACAAAGATCCTTTGAACTATAGAGAACCTATCTCTCCATACACTCTCTTAACCGAAGGGTGTATGGGAAAAGAGAAAGAAGAAAAGAATGAAGAAAGAAACCTGCTCTGATACCAAGTTGTAAATCAGTCCTCTAAATCTGATGTAAACTTGGGAAAAATTTGAGAAAAAGAGGAAGAAAAGAAGATAACAGCAGTACAAGAGAAGGAAGATGGAGAAAAGAGGAGGAAGAAGAAGAAGAGTTCGAATATCTCTTCCCTCCCTTCTCTAATCCTTTTACTAAACTTCAATCTTAACATAATTACAAGTATACCCTTAAGTGGGCGGCCAACTAGGCAGTAACATAAAGAGAACTAGCGAAAGAAATAATAGGGCCCATTAAGATAGGCCCATTAGCCAACAAATAAATAAAACATACTACAAGAAAAGATACTAGGGCCCATTCAGCCCAGTCTCTTTACAAAGGGTAATCTCCTCTAGCAAAGAAAAGAGTTCACCACCTTCAATAACTTTCCAATACCACAACCCTCTCCTCAACCCAAGGTCCCAAAATAGCCTATTATAAGAGGTTGAGACACACTGAGAATATTTTTTTCTCTTCTCCCTATGTAAATGTTTATAAACCTTTTGCTATTTATTTTGAATTTCTAAATATATTGAGTTCTACCTCATCTTTCACTTCACTAGCAGTAGAAAGTGAAATGGAATGTTGAATTTTCAAAATTTTGGACAAAAATTGTTTTGTTGTGGACTTGTTTCACTTGAGTGTGTTGGGTGGAAGTTGAAAATTGTTGGGATTTTTTACCATTGTTTGGGTTTGATGAAAGCATAATTTTCAAGGTGCCTAGGCGATGGATTTTTTTAAGTAAAAATCACATATCCTAGGGTAGTTCCCTAGGTTCCATAACCAACTTTCTTTAATAACTATCCATAATTTTCATAAGAAAATTATAAACTTCATGTCTAGAAAATCAACATATTTATGAGAAGAAAAAGAAGAAAGGAAAGAAAATTCAAAAAATATATGGGCTGAACCCCTATTTTTGTTATAGGAAAAGAAGAAAAGAAAAGGTGGAAGGAGAAGAAGAAGAAGATGATGATGATGATGATGATGTGGAAGAAGAAATGTGTTGATTAGGCAAAATTTTAAGTTCTTCCCTTACTTATTGGTTCAGAGTTTGAAGTCATTGAGAGTTCAATACAGCAGTTAGCAATGTTTGTGTTGATTAAACCCTAACAAATAAGAAATTAATAAAAAGAAATTAGTTTATAAACACAAAAATGATTATTTTTCTTTAATAATGTTTATTTTATAATTATAGCCTCAAAAAAATAATAATATAAAAGTATTTCATTACACAGTATGCAAAACTGCTTGGAGACTGAGCGAGGCGAGCCTCCAAGGGTGCCTTGTCACCTAAGCGCCCGCCTAGGCGTCACCTTGACAACTATGGATGAGAATTTGTAGTTTTTTCTTGTTTTGGTGGGTTTGGGTTTGTAGTTGGTCCTTGTTTTCGATAAATTGGTTGGTTCTTCTTGTTAGTTTGGATCCTTGGGTTGGTGTTGTGGATGCAAATAAGTTTATTTCCTTTTTTTCTCTCAGGTGACTTCTGGTCACCTTGTGTTATTCCTTTTCTTTTAATAAATTTTATTTTATTACCAAAAATATTCATTCCACACAAGCACAAGCTTACTAACATCGCAATAAAACCTTATTTGATCAATCACATACTTATAGCAATATGGTATTTGGATGAATATTGCCTGATTAACAGTATACCAGTGATCAGGCTGATTAATAATGGTTATTACTTAAAAGTCCTCACAATCAACATGGTTGAATCAAGTATGCCTTGTGGAACATGAGTACATATTTTTATGTAGAATATCAGGTTAACTTGATATACCATTTGCTTATATGTATCTGTGCCAATCTGACTAAACAGCATAAATTCAATAACTATTAAGGTACAAAAGCAATAAGAGTTGATTGGTTGGATAAATTATTCCATCCTCTACAAGGGTGCAGTGTGCAAAGAAATTTTTTCCTGACATGATTCCTCTTTTTTTAGGATATAGATAGACTTGCCTTCTCCTTTACAAGAACGTCAGAAGCAGCATCTGGTGGAAGTAAAGGCCAAACTGCTGGTTTGGGCCAAGGTAGCATGCTTAGTGCAGCACTGCCCAAAAGAGTGGAAAAATAGTAATAAGTTGTTCAGTATTATGGAGCAAAATAGTACACTTAGACAGTAAACATCAGTACATCACAATAAAACAAATTTGCATTAGTAATTAAACTAAACCTAATTAAAAATCTAGTTGAGATGTTATAAGAACATTCAAGTGCATCAGATCGGCAAGAACTTGTACCTGTTAGCAGGACTCCGTTCTATTTCTGTTCCATATCCTATTAGATATGCAAGCCTCATAAACTGTGTAATTCATATGGAAACGTCAGTAAACAATCTTAGTTGTACCAATATTGATTTAGATGAAAAAGTGAACTGACATTCTTGGCATGAATTACAGAATGAACAACGCCTTCAGAGTTCAGACAAGTGACAAACAACTGATTGGAAAATTTTGCACCAATGCATTCTGCACATCAGAAGTGGTGCCTCTGAAAATGCTGATCATTTTAAGATATTTATTCTCATCAACATTTGGATTTTGGTTATCCACAACGGTTAAAGATTTCTTTTTTGCCTATTGTAAGGTCATGCAGGACCAAAACCCAAATACACAATCCCCCAAGTACTAATGAAACTCAAAAACATTTACCTTGACACGGCTTAGTGAATATAAATCGCCCTGAAGGCGGTAGAACTCCTTTTCAACATCAGGTGCCACAAGACCATCATTATAATGAGAAACAGTTGCACTGATTAAAGTCAAACATGCTGTAATCACCCAAACTTCCCTCATACAAAAGGGTAATATACTCTGCAGAGAACTCAATAACAAGGAATGAGAATACAACCACAAATTTCAAGATTGAAGCAGAATATAACAGCAATAAGCTGAACACATGAACCAAAGACTATCACACACCTCATTAAGTGTCAATGCCTTTGAAAAGCTGACAATGAAAGAATAGCCCCTTGATGCAACTTCAACAGGACGGTTCAGCTTGAATAATAGCTACAAATTCCAACAGATGACACGGTTCAATATAAACAATATTGAAATGTAATATGCATTCCTTCAGGTTTAAGTCAAATCTTTTTCTTTTTCCTGTTTTCATTTTCAAAGAGAAAGGAATAAACTACAAGGATCTCTCCTCTACATTGGGGGCTGTGACACTTGGTCCCCTGTAAGATATTGTTGGCATTTAACAAGCTTGTACATACATATAATGACAGCCCTTTCCATCACCATTCTGTAAAAAAAGTTGATGCTGTACACCCGTGTGCATGCCACATGCATTGTTAGACATTACTAAAACCTTAAAATGCCCTTGTCCTGCTTCATAGCAGTATGACAATACTGCTCTTCACCCATTTAATATTGCTAAAAGAGATATTTCTAGTCATGATCTTCTGACCAAAGATCTAGACTATTGAACACATGTCTCAAGACCAGCCAACTATTCTTGAAAATCAAAGTTATGTGCAATGGTTTCAAGTAATCTAAGCCATGGAAGTGATATGGTAAACAATGTACAAAATCATCCAGTTTTCAAAAAAATACAATGTAAATGATGTATCAAATTAATAGAAACATATAGGCAATCACTTTTAAACTCAACCATTGAAATGATGTACCTAGATTCAACTAATCTAGGCCAACACTAAAATGTACCAATCAACACAAAAATCTAGGCTATCAAAGTGGCCTTTTAGGGTCAACTAATCAATTTTGGTCATCGAAATAATGTAACAATATTTCAACTAATCTCAGTCATTCAAGTAATGTACCAAATTTCTAAAAAAAATCCAAGTTAAGCGGTGTACCTTTGTTATAAATGTGATGTACCAAATATACCTAATATCTAGACCATCAAAATGGCCTCTTAAGCTTAGTCAATTAACGTCAGCCGTCCAAATGATGTACCAAGACATCAACTAATGTATTCCACTCAAACGAGGCACCAATTAACCCAAGATCAAACCCAAGAACCCTATCATTCACTACACACAAAGTCATCCACCTCCAATTGTCCAACTCCTTCAATGGGCCTACCAACAACACACCAACCAACTTCCCAAAATCTGATCATAAGTTCATTTTCACCTAAAATTCCATGTAAGGAGAGCAATCATCATAAATCTTCATAATAACCTTCACAAAGTAGACACCACAAGAAGAAGTTGTTTGCTTTCCTGTACAAGTTTGGAGAGGAAGAAGAGAAGAGAAACTGGAAAAAAAAGGGCGGCAGAGTTTCCTTGATTTAGCCAGTCCTAAAGCTTTTATTAAGAACTAATCATAAATCTCCATTGAATGTACATAAATGCCCCTGATTAATAACTTTACATGTTATTAACTAAAAATACTAATGGGCCCAATAACTAAACTTAATGAGAAATAAAAGAACATAAACCCACTGTTAGCGTAGGGGTATTTCTATCTTTATACCTAGATTAATGGTGCTGATCTGTAATGTTGTGTTGGAATCAGTGCTCCTCACTTAAATAAGGGCACATATGTCTTTTCAATTATTTTTAATAATATAAGTACTGTCTGGCCGACTGGGAGAAGGTCAGGTTGACACTTCCAATTCGAACCAGATTTTCTCCCTTCTCTCTTTCTCTCTTTCTTCCACCTTTCTACTGCTTTCTACATAACCGATCTCAGAAAGACAGAATTCCAAGGCAGGCCGAATCATCACATGGTATCAGAGCTACTTGAATCTGCCTAGATTTCTGTCTGCCTAGATATCTATTCTCTGTGCACCCTATCTAGGGTTTCTCCCTTTTTTTTCTGCATTCGACTGGAGATAAGGGAAAGGGCTGAAAAGGAGTGATCGCCCTCTCCCCTAGGAGGTTTCTATGCCTCCAGTCAGGTCATGTGTGGTCGGTTGCTGTGGTTTCTAAGATCGCCCTCCCCTAATCGATGAAGAATAGAGGGCCAATCTGTGTGGTGCAGTGGCTGTCTTGTGTGGACTGATTTCCTGCTCGTGGGGTTGTTACTTCAGTGATAAGGTAAGAGATTTCAGTGCATGATATCTGTTATGGATCAAATAGGATGTGTGTTTCAGACCATGTGCTAGGGTTTCAGACAGTAGTGTGCTAGGGTTTATGCTGGTTTTTGGTGTATTTCGAAGGAAGAGTTATGATCATAGAGTGGTGAGATTTCAGGTGGTCGTAGGAGTAGGGTTTGTGGTGTGAAGAACACACTTTTCAGCAACAACAAGTGCTGAAATCAGTGTGACAGGTGTGACCTAGTTGTGTGCAGTGTGCAGAATTCAGTGGTAATAGAATTCAGCAAGTGTGCAGAATCGGTRATAACAGAATGGGAGATARCAGKGATTGTAAACCTAATGTGATGGTGCCTACAGACTACCTGAATGTTCAGATGACCTCCATTAAACTAAATGGAGAGAATTATGTGCCTTGTGCTAAATCCGTCAAAGTCTTTCTGAAGGCAAAGAAGAAGGTAAAACACATAAGAGAGGAGAAACCCCCCACTAACTCTCACGAGTATGAAGACTGGGAGCAAGAGGATGCTCAGATCATCACAGGGTTGTGGAATAGTATGGAACCAAGGATTAGTGTAAATTTCATGTTTCTTGACACTGCCAAAGAGGTGTGGGACCATGCGAAGAAATTGTATTCGGGTCAAGACAATACAACCAGAGTGTATCAGCTGTATCAAGAGTACTTTAACCTGCAACAGGGCAATCAAAGTCTTGAAGAGTACTATGCCAACATGAGAAACATACGTAATGAGTTGAATGTCTATCACCCTCTCACTTCTGATGTCCAGATTCAACAACAACAAAGAGAACAGCTTGATGTGACTAGATTTTTGGTGGGACCGAAGTCTGAATATGAACCAATACGGGCTCAGATATTAGGAGGATCAGCTCTCCCTTCCTTAGAAGAGGTATTTGCTCGACTCCGGAGGATTTCTATCGGATCTACTGAGAATTCTAATATCTCAGATAGATCTGCCTTTGTTGTATCGAGAGGCCGTGGGGCTAGAGGTGGAGCTAGGGGAGCTCAGTCTGGCCATGGTAGTGGTAGTGGTTCTGTGTATGGCCGAAGTGGCAATGGTGGGCCTACTTATAATCGTGGTGGTGGTCGTACTGGGGGCAGAGATTCARGGGGAGCCCGTGGTAGAGGACGTGGCTCAGGCCCGAGGAAGTGCACTCATTGTGGTATGGATGGACATACCATTAACTATTGTTATGATCTACATGGTCCACCCTCAACCTGGGCCAATCATGCTGCTACTAGTGACTCAAATTCCAGCTTTAGACAGGAGAATCATTCATCT